AAAACTACCTCGGCTTGAACTCTGTATGGCAGCCCCATAGGTTGAGGTAGTTTTATGCGCCTCGATTCTGGATACCGAATCAACCTAGTCTGTCACCCTGTTGGAGAATAGGGAAAGTTACAAATACAATTAGGGAGAAAAGTAGTACCCGTGGTTTTCGTGTGAAGATTATACCTTTAGTGGGCATTCCGTTATTTTCTTATGTACTATATTTATTTCGGATGTCAATTGAAGGTAGAAATGCTTAGTTTTGATTTTAAAAAAAAAAGTGTTATGCTTATTCAATTAAAAAAAAAAAAAAAAAAAAGTCTGTGTTGTACTTGTCAAAAAAAAAAAAATATTGTTATACATGTTCATTTGTAAACAAATACAAATATAAGATTAAAAAAATAAAAAAAAAAACAATTTCCCGCATGTGCGGCACTGTGCACGCACATGCGGCACCACATTTTTAATTTGTTGAAGTAAATAAATACATAAATAAATTTTAAAAATAAATAAATAAATATACAATTATTTTATTTATAATTTTTTTATATAAAAAAAAATTCGACTTTTATTTATTTTTATTTTCTATTTTCTATTTTCGAAAAAAAAAAACTCAGAAAGCATGGTGCTAACAATAATCTTAATTTTGTTTTTTTTATTTGCTATATTTGTTTAGTTTAAATTGCTTTGTAGTAATTCTGGTTAGTTTAATTAGTTAGTAGATTTTGGTTTTTATTTTTATTTTTATTATACTTGTGTAGTTAGTGATGTTATTTTTATTTTTCTTCTGTACTGTAATTATTCATTTAATTAATAAGTAGTTTCGTTTTTATTTTCTTTTATTTTTTTTAATTTTCTTCTCTTTTATTTTTTTAAAAAATAATAATAAAAAAATAAAATAAAATAAATAAGAAAGAAAAAGAGAATCGGTTCATTTAGGCTATTTTATTCTATACTTTAGTCTCTTTTGTAGTTTAGTTATTTTATAGTTTAGTTTAGTTTATAATTTAGTTAATTTAATTTAAGGTCATTTTTATTCATTTATTTAATTATTTTCATTTTTATTTTTTTAAAAAAAAAAAACAAAACAAAACAAAAACAAAGGAATTATATGTGGGACATTAGTGGGCCAACTTGTGCTTTCATATTTTATTTTATTCTCATGATTGGTTCTACGGTTTTGTGTCTATTTGCTTTTGGTGTGTGCCGGCTATGAGTCGAACGTGTATCTGCTCGGGCCTCCAAAAAGGCCAGAGGTTCTAGCATTTCCCACCACCATCACCACCGGCTTCCCCGTAGTACCCACCTGTACACTGCTTTATCTCTTTTATTTTTGTTTTTGTTTTTCTTTTTATTTTTCTTTTTCTTTTTCTTTTTAGTTCTTTCTTTTCTTCCAAAAATAAAAAATAAAAAATGTGTGACGTGTGTATATGTTACTCTCTGTCTATCTGGATGTGTACCTACAATTCTGGTAATTTTCTCTCATTTCTCTTTACTTTTCCATTGAGGACAATGTCATATTCAAGTTGGGGGATGAGGGTTATATTTTCTTTTGTGCATTCCTATTTGGCTCATAATTCATGCTTATACCTGTTTTCACTTGATTGCATTACTTTACCTGATGTGACTTTTTGCTAGTACAGTGATGATATTTGCATATGTTAATTAGAGAGCATAGTAGACTGGTATGAAAATGGTTTATTAGGTAGATACTTGCATGCCATGTTTGCATGAGGAAAGTTGTCTATGTTTGTAGTATTAGTACACTTGTCATGAGTATGCCTTAATTCACATGAACACGCTATCATAGCAATGATCTTTTTATTATAATCCCTGGTGTACATCATTGATAATAGTTAGAGTTGCAGAAAAGAATAAATGAGGAGCCAAGATTCTTATAAAAAAAAACAAAAAAAAAACACTTGACTGGTTTGGGTTCGTAGCCTTTTTAACTCGAGTTATTAAGCCCGTAGGGGTATCTTTACACCTAATGCCCTAAAACCGTCTGGTTTGGGAGTCATTGGCCCAAAACTTGTTACATGGGTTATTTAGAAAGCTTAAGGGACTTGGACATTGTACAGTTAAGAAAATTAAGAAGAATGACTTGTTCAGATTCGCAGCCTTTTCAACTCGAGTTATTAAGTCCGTAGGGGTGTCTTTACACCTAATGCCCTAAAACCGTCTGGTTTGGGAGTCATTGGCCCAATGCTCGTTACATGGGTTGATTAGAAAGCTTAATGGATCAAAGCATTGCACAATCATTTAAAAAAAAAAAAACTTTGAGAATCTTGGCTGCAACAGGTTAGTTTTTCTGTATATGTTGGGTGTTATTATGAGTTACACTGGGCTATTATAGTGGATAGTTAACTAATATGGAGATTGCACTTTACACTGAGAGTACTCATGACTTGTCTACTAGTATGCACAAGTATAGGGAACTTTACTTTTGTATTAACTGAATTGTGGTTTTGACTCAATAGGTTCCTTCATGCTTGTCCACTGTGCCTTTAATGACTCATGATGTCCAAATATCACACTGTAGTGGCACATAAGTTGATTGTTAGGTGGAGTAGTGTGGTCATTTGTTGTTGAGTATATATGAATATGTTAATGTTTGTGGGTATCATTTCTGGAAACCCTCACGAGACTTTACTCGTCCACTTGGGGTAACCTTGTGGTTTAAAGGCTTGTTGCATATGCTAAATGTAACCGTTTTCCCACGAAAGAGGAAATAGATAGATTTTGTTTTATTTTATTTTATTTTATTTTACTTGCTTGAGGACTAGCAAGTAGTAAGTTGGGGGATGTGATTAAGGCCGAAATGTACATCATTGAGGCCGTTAATTAGAATCTCTTAACTTCACTTGCTGGTCAAACTGTATATTTTATGTGTGTTGAGTGTCAATCAGGTTGTACATCGTCGGAGCATAAAATGAGCAAAAAGACAGAATTTGGGCAGCGTTGACTTTCTCGCACGTGCGTTGACTTTTTCCGCACGTGCGTTGACTTTCCCGCACGTGCGTTGACTTTTTCTAGGAAAAGTCAAACCGATGTTTTGAACCTGTTTGGACGAGATTGGAAGTATAAAAGGGCAAGTAAAAGGTTGGGTTAGGGTTTGGAAGTTGTTTTGACCTAAAGGGAGAGGCTAAGGTTTGGAAAAGAAGAGAAACAAAAGTTCCAAGATGTCTCCCATGGTGGTTCCTTCTCCTTCTACCTCATTCCACTCCTCCATGAGTGGCTAGTCTTCTTTTCTAGGGTTTTGAAGAAACCCTAGCCATGTAATAGGTTTTTCTTTTTTTGATTTTATATTAGGTAAAGATTTGAACCATTGTATGGTGTTTTAGAAATTCTTTATATATAATTTTTATTATCTTTTCAAATATTTGACTTTCTGTGATTGTTGAATATTATCCATACATGAGTTTTCTATTCCTTCACATTCAAGGTATGGGACGAACCATGCTACGAGGAATGAGTTATATCACTACCCTAGTTTAGAGTGAACGATTCGTATTGCTTGAGATGGTTCATGCTCGTATATTGAATGTGATGATCTTCTTGTTAAATGCTTTGAGCTTGTAGTTGCGAAGCATTAATCCGTTCAAACCATAGCATAATTAATTTCAATTGGAAACACTAATTATGTGGTTAGTGGTGAATTCTCTACCCTAGGATTTTTCCCTAATTCAGTAAACCCAATTTCATTTATTATTGATAATTTAATTCTTTAGTTTAATTTATTCGTTATTAAATTAGGTTATAAACAACCAACCTTTTTATCAAAATTAATTTAGGAATTTGACGATTAAATTAGTTTAATTTCACAATAGTCCATGTGGATCGATACGTGGACTTGCCATTATTCTGATAGAATTTGGTATAATTTAGTATTTAATTTTAGTGTGTTCAACGACCCATCACTTACTACTTTTTATATAATAATAAAATTATCAGAATAATTAATTGAAAATAAGTATATTTATAAGATCATTACAAATTATTACTAATTAATTTAAAATGATAAGATGTAATTTTCAAAATTACAGGATCATATTTGTAATTTACCTTTTTTTTTGTATTATTTATCTATCAATATTCTAAAAAAATGTTGGAATAAAATAAATATTTTAAGATTTATTAATCTATTAAAAAACATAAAAAATTTATAAATATTTAAATGGAGAATTCTATTTTACATACACCATATCATATTAGTTACGCTAGTTTTTTCTTTAGTTATGACCAAATTTATTAAATTATGATATTATTTTGAAATTTTAATTATGATTTTTTTGCATTTAATTATAATTTTTTTTAATTATGACTCAGAAAATATAAAATTATACAATTTTCTTGTATAATTATAATGTACCTATACTATACATAAGCCCTGTTTGGTAGAGCTGTGGGAAAGTGCTTATAGCTTATGCCTAAACAGCTTATAGCTTATAACTTTCAGCTTAAGTTGATTTCCAGCTTATTCTTAAAGCATCTCCTGCCCCACTCAAAGATCATCACATAAAACTAGAACCTAATTTACCCAAATATGATTAAACATATCATTTGAGAACCTTTACAAAGTCTTAAAATGACCCCTCTAAAAACAAGAAAAATTAATTACACTCACCTCCCATAAAATTATATAAAAATACAATTAAGTTGATAAATGTGAGATAATTATATTAATATTTTTTAATATAATTAAAATCATCAAAACTAATATAAATAATGAGCAAGTATGTATATAAATAAAGATAAATATATATTTTAATAAAAAAGACATATTAACCTTATTATTATTTTTTCATCAGCAAAACTCACGAATTATTAACAAAAGTGATCCAAATATTATATAAATAATAAACTCTCTACTACTCGAAATTAACAGATCAATAAAAAAAAATTAAAACTAATTAAAATGCTTATTTGTAAAATAAGACCTTGTTTGGGGTATTTTAAAAAAGTCAAAAAATTAAAAAGTCACTATCCTATTTAAGTTACATCATCTTATAAAGAGGCAATCTTCAATTTCCCGCCCAAAACCCTGATATATTTCTCTCACCCTCTCCCTTGATCGTCATTTTCTCTCTCTTCATATTTTACAGTGGAAAGTGGAGGTTGATATACCTACCGGCAAGGTGACCAAAAGGTGAACTTTCTCTTTTTCATTTTTTGATTTTCCGATTAGTCTTTTAGCCTCTTGCCCTCGTTCTTGAAAAACAAGAGAAAAAAAAAGAAGCAAATGATCGATTGCTTTAAAAAAAAAAAAAATTAAAAAATACCCATTTAAAGATTTCAATCGTACTAGGGTTTTACCCACTAAAGATTTCGATCATATATGATTAGGGTTTTCCCTGTTAAAGATTTTGATCATATATGATTAGGGTTTTTTCCGTGTTAAAGATTTCAATAATATGATTCGGGTTTTATGTGTTAAAGATTTTACCAGGTGAATCAAAGTGGAACAGTTCAATGGAGGATGAGAAGGATGCTTTTTATGTTGTCAAGAAGGGGGACATTGTTGGTGTCTACAAAAGTTTGAATGATTGCCAAGCTCTACTTGGATCCTCTGTAAATATGCCCATTACCTTGTTAGCTTTTCTAGAATATCACTACGTCTTCAGTGACTTATCTTGCTGAATTGCTTAATTGACAGTTATTTATCCATTAAAACCCATCATCTAACTTTTACTTCATTGCTTAATTGGCTGTTGTTTATCCATCAAAACCATCATCTTGACTTGCATGTTCTTTTATTTACCTTTTTTTTTTGGTTTGAAATCAATTGTATTATTGTATGGATTGTCAAAGACAGTTTGCAATCACCGGGAACTAGTGTATTATTGTATGGATTGTCAAAGACAGTTCGCAATCATCCGGAACTAGTGATTCAACCCCCACCCGCTGTACCTTTTTCCAGAGGTTTTACAAACTAAAGACTCAAGAATAAGGATAGCTTTTAACGTCCTTTAATTAGTAGCCGCTATTTCTATTGGCTTGTGTCTCTAAATAGCATGGCATTTCTTAATTTTTCAAAATTTATATGATTGATGTCGATTGCTGTTCTCTTCATTATTGTCTCATTGTGGATTATTTGTTCTTATCTTTGTAGGTGTGTGATCCTTCTGTAAGTGTGTTTAAAGGTTATTGTTTGCCAAAGGAGGCTGAGAATTACCTCGGCTCTCATGGTCTTAAGAATGCTGTTTATTCTATTGGGGCTACTAATGTGCAAGATGTTCTTTTCGGTCAACTTGCTGTCTGCCCCTTTCAGGTTAAATACTTAAGCATCTTATTCATTTATTACTATTAGTTATGCATTAACTTTATTTTCCACTAAGAATATGCCATCTGTTGTGTTATCTCAATGCAATTTCTTGGAAACTTGGATAGTAAAGGTTTTGGGAGAACCTGTGCATGGGCAGGGTGGTGGTGGGGGTCGGGGGAAGGAGAACACTTTTTCAGCAACGATAGGATTGTATATTTAGACAAAGATATCAAGGAAGGAGAACACTTTTTCAGCAACGATAGGATTGTATATTTAGACAAAGATATCAAGGAAGGAGAACACTTTTTCAGCAACGATAGGATTGTATATTTAGAGAAAGCTTATCCTTGAGACTTATGAACTTTTTTATTGCTATCAACTTGAGATAGTTTCGTGTATTACTGCCGTTTCCTCTGCATCTGTGACCTATTTTGTAAAGAGCCTCAGGTGTATTTTATTCTTGATACTTTATTGATAATGGATAACTCTATACTTTTTTCATGTTTGAAAGCTACATCTTTTGTCTGGCACTGTGGTATTATAGCTCATGGAACTATGGAAGTGTTGGCTTTTTTCATCTACACAGTGGTGGTGAAGGTTGTCATCTGGAAGTATTATAAATCATATAATTGAGGATATTGATTTGTTTCAGCAACCAGCTTCTTCTAAAGGAAAAGCATTGGACAACATTTCTCCCGTAAAGAGATTGCAGGTAGTCCTTGACTCTGAATATATTTTAATTAAGAACACATTGCTTGTTCTTAGTCAGAAGATTTTTTTTTTTTTGTTGAGATTTTAATTTGTAAGAAACATGTAAGACCACAAAATATAGTTTTTTTGTGGGGAAAGTACAAACCGCTGCCTCACTTCGTCAAATTGTGAGAAACTGACTCAAAAAATTTATTTGGTAAAAAAGCTTCGTTATTAGCCAACCCCATTTGGTAAGCTTCCTTATCTAAGAATAGGACAATAAGTGCTGATATTTGCGAGGTTCTTCATGTACTTACCATGGATTGTCTGCATGCTTCTAGACAAATGGAAAGTTCCCTTGTGGCCCATGATCCATCACAAGTACTAGATTCTGCGTGCACATCTAGAGAGTGTAATACACAAGATTGGTTAAGTTTACTTTAGGGAACTCTTATTTGAGCAATGTCTCTAATTGCATGTGAAGATGGACAAGGCTTGTGACACTTGAAATTATCACTTTTATGACTTGCAATTTGTTGTTTTGCATTACACATTTGAAAGACTTTAGAATTTATTAGATACTCGATCTGGAGGAGGTTTAAGTATTCAACTGATTATTATTATTTTCTTTCCAATTTGGGTTATTTGTTCTGCAGCATGGGGTAGTTGGATCATCTTCTATTCCAGCAATTCCTCAGAGTAAACAAGCCAAATTGCAAAATTTCATTGAAGCTCCAGCTTTATGTGTATGTTTCCTTCATTAGATATTTATTTTCAAGATTTTATTCTAGCAGAGTTTTTGGCACCAGTGGCTTCAAATTAGATGACATGCTTGACTTCTACATTTAAAAAAAGTGATAAACCTGTTTGTTCAAGCACTCCAACTTGTACTTCATTCATAATAGATTTGGCTTAGAATCCAATGAATCAAAGCGAGACATTGTTGAATGTTGATTTTCTTGCTCTATTTATAAATATATATCAAAGGGGCAACCAAATGTGTTAATGCGACCCAAGCCCTCTAATCACAATTTGAAATTTTTTCCCGTAATGATCCATGGCAAGTGACTATTTTAGCCAAAAAGCCAAAAAAATTTCAACTCATACAAAGAGTCAAAGCTTCCTTTTCATTCACTCTACAAAGTCAACGATTCTTTCCAAATCACAATGCATTTTTTTGCACGTTTTTCTGTAGAAAGCCAAGAAGTCCTTTCCAAACATATTGATTTTTTTCACCTCATATTTTGGGGGTTGTTTGGGATGTTCTAAATAAGTGCACTTTTTGACTTTTTATGAAATATGGGTTGGGTTTGAAGTGATATGGTAGAAAGGTGATGTGACTTAAATAAGATGACGTGACTTAAATAGGATAGTGACTTTTTGACTTTTTGGCTTTTTTAGTATATGCCTATATGCCAAACGAGGCCTTAGTCAAAAAGCACTTCCCAAACAGACCCTCAATTAGTTTAAACAAGTCACCCACAAACCCACTCCCTCTCCAATATTTACCTAACTCCCGCAGAATCCTTTCAGTTACAACTTCTTTCTTGCGGTTGTAGATCAATTTCACTTTGATTTATTGTTGACCCAGATAGGGTTTAAAATGCCTGATAGGGTTTCACATTTCATCTATATGTCTCACATGATATGCCTCATCGTGGTGTAATCAGAGATGTATGTAATTGTAATTTAATAATGGTTTTTCAAGACATGGTCACTTCCATTTTTTTGAAAGATATAGCCTGATTAGTTGCCTTTAAATTGTTGAAGTTAACATTTCTTTGTCTCGTGTGTATTTGTAGGGCCATATTCCATCAGTTTGGCTTGCCAATGAATATCCTCATTCTAGCAATGCCCATGCTACTAAAGTTGACCATGTCAAGCAAGCAAGTTGTTTATTCTTTTTTAATTACCTTCTACTTACAAGTAATGGGTAAAATTCAAACTCAATCAACCAAACAAAGCTATGAATGCAGATCAGCTATGCAAATCCTTCTTTGCCTATTAAGCAGTCTCTTGAATTCAATCCTATCAATAGGATGTGGTGCCTTTATGTAGTGAGACCTGTTATATTTGTCTCTAAGATTTTTTTCTATTATTTTTTTGAAGATAACTATCAACCAAGCAACTTTTCATTCAGAGGATGAACTTCAAAAAACTAAATAGATGAAGAAAATAAAATTCGGTTAGGCCCCACTTTAAAAATGCCTCCCTTTGGACACATTTTGTAATAATTCAAAATGAATGCATTATGAGCTTCCAACTCTTGTAGACATGAGTCAATACGTGTCTCACCTTCGGAGATAATTGACATGATTACACCTTTTGGATATCAACTGCAATGCATTGCTGTAAATTCCTTCCTCACAAACTATCAGATAACCCAAGTAATTGTTCCTGATTTCTGAGTAAGTAATATTAAAATGTCTTCTAATTTGCAGTTTTCTTTCACCGTATTCACATTTTATGGTTTCATCTCCTTTTTCATATGCGCAGCTCTCCTGTACTATTGAGTTTGATGGTGCTTCGAAAGGGAATCCTGGACTAGCTGGGGCAGGTGCTATGCTGCGTGCTGACGATGGAAGTATGGTATGCAGCCACTTGCTTGCATGTTGTACATCTAGTTAACTGTATTTTGTGAAAATTTGTTCTCTAACCTTGAGTTTCAATAGGTTTGTCGATTGCGGGAAGGTGTTGGCATTGCAACTAATAACGTAGCTGAATATCGAGCAGTTATTTTAGGCCTGAGATATGCTCTTAAGAAAGGATTTAAACACGTTCGTGTCCAAGGAGACTCTAAACTCGTCTGTATGCAGGTTTGTTTTTCCCTTGTTATTTGACGGGCATTTCCCTCTCTCTCTCTCAAAATCTAAATGTTCTTGTGAATTTCCACTAGACTTTGCTTCGTTCTTCTTTACTGTGATTATGTACTCTGCGAGCACTTTGACTATGGAAGAGAAAGAAAAAAGAAGAGAAGAAGAGGAGAGTGAAAGAGAGAAGATTGTTCTAGTGTGGCGGTGGAGTTGGCCTGAAATGGGGAAGGGGAAGGTGAAGGGTTGTTGAGGAAAAGAGACTCAAATAAATTTCTGATTTTGTCTATTTATCTGCTGTATACTGGGGTCATCCAAATACTGGATTGGGTTATTCATGTGATATCCTGATCATTAATTTAGACCAAATCAAACACCCGATGGCGACTATTAGTCCTGGATTCTTTATACAGGGACAATTAGTCCAGCAGGGATGTCTAATTTAATCTGTGAATCAAACACAGCCTCTTCCTTGCTTTAAGATTGTGGCCAAGATCATATTCAGTGTGTTTGGTTTCAGTTTTCTAAAAATTGAGTTTTTTGTTTTTCGTATTTTTTTGTTTTTAGTGAATATTTTTTAAATTTTAAGTAATTTTTTTTTACTTTTTTAGATGCACTTTACTTAAAGGTATCTAAATAGTAAAATATTTGTGAAACAATATTTTAAAAAATTAATAAATACACAAAAATACGAAAAAAGTACTAATTTTTTTTTTTTTGTATTTTTTTGTATTTTTTGGTATTTAATGTATTTTTTAAAGATTTTTTTTCACAAATATTATACTTTTTAAGTGTATTTATGTTAGGTGTGTCTAAAAATTGAAGAAAAAAATTGCTTAAAATGTTAAAAAAAAATCATTGAAAATGTTAATGTAAATGTAAATTACTACTACACCTACCACCAAACCTACCTCCACCTACTACTCCTATCACCTACTACACTCCACCAAACCTACCTCCACCACTCACTCCTCACCTACTCCAGAATCATCTCCTATATAATAGGAATTCTTGTACAAAATATATACACAACAATCTTGTAACACATCAATCAATAATATACATCAATTTATTTATCATGGTATCAGAGCTAAGTTAAGAACCTATTCATTCTGCTTCACCGGCGGGCGGTAGTCTCGCCTTGGCCGCCCGCCGGACCTCTACACATACCTTCACTCCGCTGCCACAAATTCCATAGCTGAACTCTTCACCTTCCCTGACAAGCAAACCCCTATTCCACACTCTCTCACCACTCTGCACTTTCTCTCTCGAAACCACCATAACCATGGCAGTGAGCAACAACATAACCTCAGTCCTGAATTTCATAGCCTTCCTCTCCTCCATCCCAATAATCGCCTCGGGAGTCTGGTTCGCATCCAAGCCAGACAACGAGTGCATCCACTGGATCCGATGGCCACTCGTCTCCCTCGGCATCTTCATCCTTCTAGTCTCCCTCACCGGCTTCGTAGGCTCCTACTGGAACAAAGAATGCCTCCTCGCCTTCTACCTCATCTGTATGGCGGTTCTCATCGGGGCCCTCCTCATCATCATCGACCTCGCTGCCACATCAAAAACCAGCGTCACCAACGGCGACATCGCCCATCACTGCGGCTGATTCACTCCGGCCTCCCCAGCGTCTGCCTCGCCACCTCCGGCCCCGGCGCCACCCCCCTTAGTCCGCAGCCTCGCCGCGGCCATGCTCGCCCGCGTCCCACTGTTGCTGCTTCTGTTGGGCATTCCCACCTCTTCTGGCGCCTAGCCGACCCGACGTCCCTTGACCAACATATGTTTATTCTATTTCTTTTCTTTTACTCTCTCTCCGTATATGTTTATTCTATTCTCCCCATACCTCTCTTTTTTTTATTTTTCTTCTGCAACCACTTCCCCTTTTGCACCCACGTTTCCCCTTACTTTACAACCCAACCTCTTTCTTTTGTCAGCCTCCACCATGTGATGTTGCCCACACCTCTCATTCCTTCCACTCGCGTCTATAGAATATATCTATATATATATATATTTTTTTTATTTTATTTTATTTTTATCTATAAAAAAAAAAAAAAAACACTACACAGTTTTACACACCCAGCACCCCATTGACACAGACCACCCACTCACACAACGCATGTGGTCTCCTTTTTTTTATTATTATTATTAAAAAGCCCACTCAAGTGGTCTCATTTTTTATTATTATTAAAAAGTGATCTAATCATGTTATTTTTTCATTGTTATTTCTTTGCCCCAACTCACAACACGCTACCACAAAAAAAAAAAAGAAAAAGAAAGAAAGACAGAAGACGAACTGCACACCAAACTCATTTTATTCATATCAGGGGATCAACCCCGATCACCATTTTCCACAAAAAAAAAAAAAAAAAAAAAAAAAAAAAAAAAAAAAAACAGAACAACCGCATCCACAGGCAGGATTTTCTTCTCTACTCTGCCGCCGGTCTCTTCTTCTTGCCTCCGTCCTGAGCGGCCCTTGACGGTGTTGCCTCCGTGTTTCCACGCCACCGAAGCACGATCACTCCCCCATACTCTTCCACTGCAGCATATGGCGGACCTCCAAATCGGAACATCACGGTGGCCTTCCGCTTCAGCTCCTTGTTTTCTGCCCTTAGCACGCTTATCTCTGCTCGCGCATCCTTATACATGCGTTGGAGCAGAGCCAGCTGGAAGTTTAACTGCTGCACCTCATTTGCCCTACTCTGCAGCCGGTTCGACAAGTTTGTCACCGCAGTCATGGTTTTCACACATGATTTCAAAGTATACTGATTGGTCTCCACATCCGACTGCACAACCATTTTTTGCTCCACCGACCGCATCGGAAAGTTCAACGGCGCAAAACCGGCAGTGTTTGGTTGAGGTTCACTGGCCACCGCACCCGTTATCTCTCTTGTTGACTCGTTGAGGTCAGGAAAGAGAGTCAGCAGACCACGGGACGACGGAGCCATTTTTTTTTTTCTCGCAACAGAGTGTTACAGACTCTCTCTCTCAGCACAACAGTGTTACAGCCTCTCTCTCTCAGCACAACGAAGAGTTTTACAGAGGATTTCGCAGGTTTTTTGCCTCTGCTTCAGCCTCAGGTTCAGTCTTGGTTATATAGCCGAGGCAGCCACGCGCATCGCGCGCCTCTTGACGCCAGACAAACCGGGCACACCAGCCAAGGCACTCACGTGCCTCGCCATCATATTTGGCACGCCTTTTGATGCATCGAGCACGCCTTTTGATGGCACGCCTTTTGAAAGATTGGGCACACCTTTTGAGGGCACGACTTTTGAGGGCTCGATATCTATCTACATGTATATTTTTTGGGCAGCCTATCTACACACTCATACAGTGTCTTCTATCCCGGTCAGCTTTATCAATCCCTTTGTTTCAACCTCAAATAGGTTTCTATCTTCACACCTATTTGAGTTTGAGGGGGGGTTATACACAGTATCATGTATCAGTCGCCCATGGCGCACTCCTTAAGTCACCCCCTTGGTGCACCACCACAATCTTCTACATCGGTCCGACATGACCTCGTAAACTGTCTGCTACAACGGTCCGACATGACCCCGTAAACTGTCTTCTACAACGGTCCGACATGACCCCATAAACTGTATTCTATATCGGTCTGACACGACCACACAGTGTCTGCTACATCGGTCCGGCATGACCTCGTAAACTGTCCTGCTACATCGGTCCGACATGACCTCGTAAACTGTCTGCTACAACGGTCCGACATGACCCCGTAAACTGTCTTCTACATCGGTCCAACATCTTCGCGATGTTGATTCGAGTGTTCGGATTCGGATCCAACAGTTTCGTAATCAATCTCCTCGTTTCAGGCGAAAACCATGGCGGACACTTGAAATCTCCCCTGTAGATCTTTCTCGCCTGAAGCAGAGGATCCGAGGGACTGATAAACCCATCTTCATCGTTGATGTTCCCATCTTCATCGTTGATGTCCCTCTTGGCAATCTCTTGAAGCTACGGCTGTTAATGTAAATGTAAATTACTACTACACCTACCACCAAACCTACCTCCACCTACTACTCCTATCACCTACTACACTCCACCAAACTTACCTCCACCACTCACTCCTCACCTACTCCAGAATCATCTCCTATATAATAGGAATTCTTGTACAAAATATATACACAACAATCTTGTAACACATCAATCAATAATATACATCAATTTATTTATCAGAAAACATTAAAATACGGAAAATAAAAAGTAGAATTTTCAGAAAGTTGTTTTCTGAAAACTATAACCAAACAAGCTGATTGCTATTTATTTTTGTTCTATAATTTGTTTATATTATGTATGTCATTATTGAAAGTGTACTTGTGTTACAGGTTCAGGGTTTGTGGAAAATTAAAAACCCAAACATGGCGGCCTTGTGTAAGGTGGCTAAGGAGCTGAAGGATAAGTTTATGTCTTTTGAGATCCGTCATGTTGAAAGGGTAAATGTAGATTATTCCCTTAATTGTAGATGCTTTCGTTCAGTTTTGTGCAATTTTAAATTATTAAATATTTGCAAAATTCAGTCATATTCCTCATGACTACCATCAAGGAAATAATTGTTGCCATTGCAAAATTTGGAGTGCTAGTAATAAAAAGGGGAAAAAATTATTAAATAATTTGTAGATGCTTTCGTTCAGTTTTGTGCAATTTTAAATTATTAAATATTTGCAAAATTCAGTCATATTCCTCATGACTATCATCAAGGAAATAATTGTTGCCATTGCAAAATTTGGAGTGCTAGTAATAAAAAGGGGAAAAAATCACTAGAGTTTGCGTGCATTGTCGGTTTTCAGTTTCAGTCCTAAGGTTTTTTTTGTTTTTTTTTTTTGGGAAGGAGTTCAACTCTGCAGCTGATGCTCAAGCGAACCTGGCTGTATATCTCAAAGGTAAGAACCCGATAGAATCTTATGAATGTATTTCTAAGTTGTGTTGGATTCGAAGAACCTGATAGAATCTCTTGTGCTTCTTGTGTGTAGATGGGGAAGTTGAGGCTGAATGTGATATTCAGTAGTGCAAATGGTTGGAAGTAGCAACTTTGCTTTGTCAAGAAGATTGGATGAAAACATATATCTAGACTACTTGTTAGTTATCAAATAGGGCCTAAACTCTTTGGTTGTTGGGAAGGTACATGAATGATGTGTTTATATAATAACCACAATGGGAGTGTTTGAGCTAATTTCTTTTGGTTAGCGGGGCCTATAATTAGGGCTGTTCAAAAATCTGTTCAAACTGATAATTCGGATCGAATCAGACTAAATCGTACGGTTTGGTTCGGTTCTATTAAGAACCGGTTCGGTTTCGTTTTAAGAAGTATGAGAACTGTAAAAATGGTTCGGTTAATGGATTTTATGAAAAAATTACGGTTCAAATCGAACCGAGCCGAATTTTAAAAAATATATATATATATATATATATATAACATCAAGTTTTATTTTTATTAATTGATTTTTTGTAATTTTAATGATATTAGGATAATATAGATATGTAATGTTGAGTAATGCTTTAATATTATTAGTTTTTATCATGAGTTAAATGTAATTAGTTTGAGTAATTATTTTACTAATATTAACAATTAGAAAATTTTGGAACCGTAAACCAAACCGAACTGTTATTTCGGTTTGGTTCAAGTCTGATTTTACTAGTGTAATGGTCTGTTTTAATTCTCAAAATCACAGAACTGTTAGGATTGGTTCAGTTCTTGGATTTTTTCAGAATCGAACCCTGAACACACCTACCTATGCTTCCTTTTATGATCAATCAATGATATGCTTCTATTGCTGCAGGTAATTTTAAGAAGTTATTTACCAAATCCATGTCGATTTTCAAAATTTTCAAACGAAAGTTGATTTGAACTTTTCAAGCCCAAACACAGCTTTTGAAAATATGATTTCAAAAAAATTTACATTAAGTTAATATGAAAATCATGTTTTTGCCAATTTGTGTTTTGATTTAAAGTCATTCGCCATTTTTTTTGGTTCTGTTTTTAATGTCTTGTGTCACCGTCAAGAAGCAAACATCTTTCAGTTTCTTTTTGTGTGAATTACATGAAGGGAAGTACTTAGAGACGCTATAATTTTTAATAATTTTTTTATTATCAAGTACTTATATGGGTGTGGGTGTCACACTTGCACAAGTGTTTGGTAGAAATTTTAATAGAATGTTTTTCATCTGTAACATTGTGCTGTTTTGAGAAGTTTGGTAAAATGCCACGTTTTTTTATCTAAGGGAAAAAAAAGCTTCCGACCAAAAACACCACAAAATTCATTTGGGAAACTAAAAAACGCAAGTGTTGAAATTACAAATTGGAACTTATGACAAAAAATTAAAAAAGTAAAAAACAAATGTTGGGTAAGGGTATTTTGATCATTTTAATTTGATTTGACACCATAAACAAATAGTAAACCAAAAAGTCAAAAGTCTGATTTTTATCGACTTCTTAAATCACTTTTCAAAAAGTTAAAAAACTTGATAAAAAGTCAAAAGTCAATTTTTTACCAACTTTCTAAAACACCCCATTGTATCACTACAGAGTATTTTATTTTATTTTTTTTAGCAAACTAATTTTGAAATTGTTTTTGTTTTATGATATTTTTATTTTTCTCGTGGCATTGCTTACTGCTTTTTTGGAGGAATGACCCCCATGTAAGGTTTTGTTTGGTCCTTTTTTTTTCTTTTTTTTTGGCGCGCGCGTGCCCTTTTTATTTCATTTTTTGGTTTTAGTGAAGTTTTACAATGTTGAATTTTAAAACAGTGTGTTACATGTAATAATTAATGTACACATTAGTTGTAATGTCATTATTATTGACCTCCATTTATTATACAAATTACAAATATTTTAAATTTATAAAATTATACCACACCATCTGTTAGTATACTAATTAATACATTAATTAATACATATAATATTATTCTTTTTAAAATATTTAGGAAATACGAATGTAAAAGCCTTTATAAAGTTGAATATTTTGACAATTTTTTTAATAAAAAGAGTCACAAAAGCAAAACCAACAAAGTTTTTTATATTATGTTTTTTATAAAAAAAAAAGAAAAAAGAAGTTAATTATAAATATATCTCTTAAAATATGAATTGTTTTATGTGATTTTGAAAATTATAAATACTCTCTTCTTGAATTTTTATTTTAACAAAATTAACAGTTTAAATAAAATTTTTAAATATTCTTTTATACAATAATAAAATTATTTGAATTGTTAATTGAAATATGTTTTTAACATAAAAAATTATTAATTAACTTGATAATTTATTAATAAATGGGTCACATTTTTTATATCATTAGAAATTTAAAAGGCTAGAATGTAATTTTAAGAGCTACGTGAGATAATTTATAATTTACCAAAATATTCAGTTATGAGAGAAAAGAAGTACCATTTCCAGAGCAGTATTTACTGCTCCCAAGTTCCAAAGCAAGTATGAATAACTTTGGTTAGGATAAATTACAAATACAGCTCTACAAATTTATTTAAAATACGAATTATTTCTTGTAATTTGAAAAATTATCAATATTTTCTTATCAGAATTTTTTATTTAACATAATTAATTAAAAAAGTAAAATTTCTAACTGTTTACCTATATAATAATAACATTATTTGAATTATTAATTGAAATAAAATTTTAACATTATTAAAAACTATTAACTTGATAATTTATCAATAAAATAACTTATTTGTTATGAAATTAAAAACTTTAAGCGGTATAATATAATTTTTAAAATTACAAAAAATAATTTATAATTTAATTAAGACCTCAAGGTGGGTTTGTAATTTACCTCTTTGGCTATGTTCATAGGGTGGGGAAGTAGCAAAAAGCTCTATTCTCGCAGTAAATATCAGCTTTCGATTTTGGAACGATAACAAAATTGAAGCAAACAACAATGGCCTCCGCAACCTCAATCTCAGGATTTTCCTCTCTGAATTCGATTTGCTCATCCAAATCTCACATCCATTCGTCTCTTTCTTCGAGCTTTCCACTTGGGTCTCTTCATCGTCAAAGCCATGGCAGCTCTGTCAATCGTAACCCTACTTTCGCACTTGTACTGAACAATAACAAGTTCCAAAGATGGAGAAACATGGTTAGGTCGGTCGTCGAAGAAACCCTAGTTCCAGAAGAGACTGATCAGCCCGTCTCTGCTCTCACCATGTTCTTTCAGGTACTCATCAATTCTGTCTTTTTTTTGTTTTTTTGTATTTTGTTTTTTGAGTTTGTTCAGGAAACCTCCATACCTCCATTGCAATTGCTTGTTCTCATGACTCTGACGGCTTGAATTGATATCAGTGGCATTTTCTGGGATTAATTAATGATTATGTATTTAGTGAATTGGAAAGGGTTGTTCTGGATTTGCAACTCGAATTTTTTTGTTTGTTTGTTGATGTTTTGGGATGTGTAGTGTTTGCTGTTTTTTAAAATGTAATTGGATTTTGTAGCTGTGTGTTTTTAAGTTCTTTGATGAACTGGCATGGTGTTTTCTTGTAAAAATTATAGAAAAAGAATCATTCATTTAAACTATTGGAACTAATAGTGCAAGCTTATCTGATTCATTTGGTTTGTGACATTGTTATGCTCCCACATTGCCCGACAATAGGCATGAATTTAAGCCCAACAATGCTACAAACACATCAATTTTTACACCGAAACACACACACCCATAAACCCTAAACCCTATAGTTCTCTATGGGTGTGTGTGTTTGGGTGGCTTTGCAGTTCAAGTTCCAGAGGGGCAACTTGTAGGTTGGATTAAGATACCTGCTGACGTGTCAAATATTGATAGGTGACTGAAGCCGCAAGAAGGGAGAGGGCTATCACAGGATCAGTACGTCGAGTATGGGATCACATAGTTCTTATATTCTTGTATCGCATACTTTATGTACTTCCATGTAGAAATGCGTTCAGCTTTTGTGGTTAGATTGAGACTTCTAATCTTATTAACTGAGCATGGTGGGTGATCTTATTGTCTGCAATGTTTTTTAATTGCCATGGTCATCCATTTCTGTTTTATATATTATATCAAGTATGCTTCTACTTATTAACACGATGATTGTCTTAAATATGTAGGCAGAAGGAACAATGAATGAAGCAGCTATTCGTACAGTGACCAATGCTTTAGAGGTAGATCCATCTGTCCTTATTGAATTGTTCTACAAATGAATTTGATTCTATATTCGTGGATTAAAATTGTCAATGTTGCCCCCGATATTTGGATTTGACTAATGGGATGCAAGAATATTCTATATTGATTATTGACAATGGTTTATTTTCTTCACGATAAAGCAAAGGTTTTATCATGTCTGGACTTTCGGCCTTCTAAGTTCCAACCTTTCCAATTACCTTTCATTTTTTATTTTATAGGAAACAGAAGGCGTTGCCAATTTAAAAGTTCAAGTTGTTGAGGGAATTGCAAGTGTTGAGGTGAGCATAAACAACTTGTTACATCTTACATCTCATAAATGAAACTGTAATATACAAGTGTTACTTCTGTCTAGGTAATCACTTTAAGTTGAACTTGCACCCAAAACTATAAACAAAATGTTCCTAGTCCTTGAATTGCAATGGCTTTAAACATAAAAGTATTTGATGAGCTTGGATTCCTAAATTGTTCATGGATGCTAGCCACAGATTTGCCTCACATTTTCCACTGTATTTCAACTTTTTTTTAGAGAAAACCTTTCTACAAGTGTATTACTTGTACAATTAAGATGTGTTTCTGTTCTTTAAATTTTGAATATTATCTCAAATTGACGGAATGCTTTGTCCACGTGTATGCTTTCCCAGCTAACAAAAGAGACGACAATACAAGCTACAGGGGTGGCCTCCAATTTGGTTGAGATCATACAAGGTTCGGGCTTCAAACTACAAACATTATACTTGAGCTTTGAGGATGAAGAAAACATCAACTAGATCTCATATATTGATTTACCTGTCCGAACCTCACAAAGAAAACGGCACATGGAAGCTCTTAATCAGAATCCTAGAATCTAGGCTAATGCAGCAGAGTTGTTGTACTCACTTGTCATAGTTCCATGGGCATTTCTATTGTTTAGTGTTTTGTTATCTTGTTATGTCTCTGAAAGCACACTAAGTTGTGAAATTGTGTTTAGAACATGTATTTTCTGTAGTCCCATTTGTCATTTGTCCAGTTTATGCTGTTTGTTAGCTCGATTCAGCTGTCATAGTTATATTGTATGTCAATACTAATCATTTGAATTAGGTAGAGATTTTGTTCATAATTATTGGGTCAACTCATTGAAGTAGCTCTAATGTTTGAAAAAACACATTTTGAAGTGCATTCATAAAAAAGCGGAGTGAGAATCTCTCTATACAATAATATGAATATAAGATTGCCAATTTATTACCCCTCCCAT